TCTCTCTCTCTCTCTCTAGGCATATAAATAGATATAATAATATATATTTCGACTTATAATATTTTTTTACACAGACACACACATACACACACACATACACACACATAAACACTCTCACATATACACACTCACTGTTTTTCTCTTTCACACGCACACATTCGCAACACTCAAGTGTCTTATCTTTTCACCCCTACAATCGTGTTTCACAAAAACTCTAGCCCACATTCCCCGTGTCAAGGTCTTCTCAGAACACACCCCCAGACTTTCTTCCAATCTCGATGTCAGGGCAGTTCCGTATTAAGTTACCCTTTTACATGTATCTTTCGATTCCCTTTTTCTCTATATTTCGTTGTATAATAAATCCTTTTTTCTCTTTGTTTAATTACCCCCTTTCTCTATATTTCGTTGTCCTTGCACTCCAGATCTACTCCTTCTCTATTATTTGTTATCTCTTTTCACTATATGTTTCGTTACCCTTTCTCTTTATATTTCGTTGTATACCCCTTTTCTCCACATTTCATTATAATCCTTTTTCTCGTCGTTCCTTGCCAATATCAATCTGTCTGTCTCTTTGCCTGTCGTGTTTGTGAGTATATCAGTGTATGAAGATGTATGTAGATCTATGTGTATGTGCGTGTGTGAGTGTGTGTGTGTGTGCGTGCGTGCGTGCGTGCGTGCGTGCGTGTGTGTGTGTGTGTGCGTGCGTGTGTGTGTGTGTAATATATTATTGTATTAATTTTGTAATTGCTGCTATGCAGTCGAATCTGCCTTAAGCGGCCACCTGTACAAACAATATACGGAAACTTCTCACTTAATCATCCCTTGCGTATCTTTTTTTTTAAAACATAATAATGACACTGTCCACGTTGTTCATCTGTCGCAGACAACCACTTTTCACTTCCACAATGGGAGGCAGTCCTCGTGTACAGAAGAACTTGTCTAGGACGGCCACTTAAATTGTCGATGTGAAACACGTCCGTCTTATACAAGCAGACGTCTTACACAGAGTCATTATAATTATAATGTAAGTACGTGTATCATGTAAGAAATACGCGAGGGGAAATATGAAGTGGTCGTTTATGGTGGTGATTGTCTTGTCTTTACATGCCCCCCCCCCCCCTCTCTCTCTCTCTCTTACACACACGCACACATACACACACACACACACACACACACACACGCACACACACACACGCCACACACACACACACACACACACACACACACACACACACACACACACACACACACACACGCGCGCGCGCGCACTCCCCCCCCCCCCACATACACACACATACATACTCACACTGTCTTTCTCTTTCACACACCTCTGTAGGTCTATTGACTGACCGTTATCGTGTCGGAGTGCTTCTCTTCAAACACTATAATCGGTAACCCTGACCCAGCCTCTTTGCCCTGACCTCAGGCTGACCCAGTCAGGTAGGTCTTGATCTATACATGAATTAATTTCTAGTTCTAGCGTCCGCATGTGTGCGAGTGCGTGTGTGTGTGTGTGTGTGTGTGTGTGTGTGTGTGTGTGTGTGTGTGTGTGTGTGAGAGAGAGAGAGAGAGAGGGTGTGTAAGTGTGTGTGTGTGTGTGTGTGTGTGTGTGTGTGCGAGTGTGTGTACTTGTAGAGTGCATATGTGCGTTTATGTGTCTGTGTGTGCGCGTGCGTATGTGTGCGTAGTGCTTGTGTGTGGGTGTATGTGTGTCTGTGATCACTCACCTCGCGTTGTTCCGTGCACGACTAAGTCTGCTGCCAGAGAGTGAGTACACGCTTTTCCCTGTACTGTTCCCATGCCCATGGATGCACTCAACACAAGAGTTAGACCCACATCCTCTATCTCGACGCTCAGAGACAAGAGCGGAGAAACTTCTACTACTACTCTCCGTTAAGACTGAACGCTGCGAATTCACCACAACAGTTCTCCGGCAGACATTCCAACATTCAGGCTTGAGCTGTGAAAACGAAAGTCTTGCGGCCACAGCAGAGGAAAACATTGTGTTCTTTGGGTTATAATGATTATAATCTCGCTTTCTTCTTCTGCTTTGCAAGCTAACACAGTGAAAGATCTATCCACACTCACTCCGCAGATCAGCAAAATAAAACCACCGGTACCTTAGCGTACGTAAACAAACGCGGCTTGTTGAGTTGATCTCTACACAGTACCTACACAGTTCGCGCACAGCGCGCTCCACAAGTCATTCCACGCTCTCGTAGGCTACACATACATACACAGTAATGTCAATTATGTCAATGTGTGTACTTCACGTGGTCTGCCTCTACACGGCACGGCTCGCGACAGTAGCAGTAGCCTCAATAGGAGTTGTGAGAGCATAGTAAAACAAAATGTAGCTGTTTCACTTTATATAGTACGCCTGTACGGTACTGTGACCAGTGTGACCAAAGATTCTTTGGTGTGACCTCGCTTGTAGGCCTAGAGATGACAGACAGGTGACGTGTACGATTTAAGCAATGTTTCGCCTCGCGCTGCTTCACTTAGCTTTGACACAGGTCACAGAACCATTTATAGGCCCATATCGGCCGGAAAGCATACCAGTTTGTCACAGGCCCACCCTGCCTCAACTAGTCTTTTCCCTGAATGATGGAAGTGTTTGTTGTTGTTTTTTGTTTTGTGTTTGTTTGTTTGTTTTTAGGGGGGTCAATAGGCCTACTTTATTTGCCTTGGTCGCATATAGTGACTATGGTGTTACAAAGGTCCTATTCTGTACTCACCCGTGCACACAACAGACGAGAACATAACTATTACATTATTATAACATGTTTAAACAGCTCCGCACCATAAACGTTCCCTCACACATACACACACACATACACACACACATACACACACACACACTCTCTCTCTCTCTCACTCCCCCCCCCTCTCTCTCTCACACACACACACACACACACACAAACATTCTCTCTCTCACTTCCTCTCTAACCCCCCCCCCCTCTCTCTCTCTCTCTCCCAATCTCTCTCAATCCCCCCCCCCTCTCTCTCTCTCTCTCTCTCTCTCTCTCTCTCTCCCTCTCTCTCTCTCTCGCTGTGTGTCTTGTTCATTTGGACAATGTTTATCAAATTATCTAGGTCTGTCTATCTATACACCTATCTGTCCATCCCTCTATTTATCCATCTATCTATCGGGAGCTGTGTAATCCATCACTCGTGCGTCAGTGGGGCCGCCAAAATTGAGAAGGCGTGGCCTCTAACGATCGCAAGAGATTATCTCAAACAACCATCTCGTTTCTACGTGGATCACCTGTGGAGTTTGCTAACCGACGACCGACTTTATGAAGGAACTGGGTCGTCAGTCAGGGGACCGAGAGCGCCGGATGTTTCGACGGCCACTGGGACGAAATGGTAGCGATCGCTGAGGCCTGCATATTTCTTAATTTTGGACTCTTCTGCCTTCTTGGCGATACTGCCGGGAGTAGAGGCCGATGAGGAGATGGACAGCGGTGAGAAGGAGTCGGAGTATGTGGCGTCCCACACAAGGCATTTCCCACCCTCGAAAGGAAAGATGGTGATGCCGTCTGGTCTTTTGCCGTCGCCCTGGTCGAGCCGGAGGGTTCAAGGATGCAATGTAGGCCGGAAGCATCGAGCGCACGCTTCATGATGTCTTTGAGGGCAGCGTGACGTTGGAGACGACCACCACTCCGACGACAAGACAGTAGGCGTAGGCCGAAGCTATCGACTGACGAACCGCATCGGTATGTGTGAGTGTGAGGCTCACATACTATAAGACCAAGTCTCGTCGCAACGCCAATGCGGAGGCTATCATTGTTGAGAAGACAACCGACGGAAGGAGGGAGGGAGGGCGTGGAGCCAGGCGCCGCTGTATGGTTGGCCGGAGGAGTTAAAACAAGCCAGGCGGTGCTGGTTCAGATTCGGTCTTAATTCCTCGACCAATCGTTGGCAACTGGCCTGGTCCCATGACTTCTGAAGGTGAGGCTTTTCGTCTGGAAGCATCCCAAGAGTCTGCCATTTGCTGGCGCGGACATTAGAGTTCCGGAAAGGTCGGGGCAATCGCTCTATGTGACATAGAATCTTTTTAATGAGGTGTTCGTAGGAGTGGAGTGGAGAGAGATAGGCCGGAAGCGCCAGATACTCATATGGCTCTCTATGCAATGCCGACAAGGAACACGGGAAGTTTGGCCTGAGACCATGCTGTATCATCAAATGAGATATTTGTGATGCACTCGGCTGCTTGACGTAGTTGTTCGTCAAATGTCGACAGCTCTCTTGTGGCCGGTACACTCCGTAAAGTGTAGAGTGACTTCTGGGCAGCAAAGCAAATGCGAAGAAGTTAGAGGGCTGGGTGTGAAGTCCAAGAGACATAGTCTCTCGGATATCAATCGCAGGGTCGAAGTTTTTCTGGCCATTGACTTCCTCACAGCTTCGATCTCGATAGGTGCCCCCGGCAGCTCCGCCTCTAACAGCTTCGTTACTCGTACTCCTGATAATGCTGCAATAGAATTTTTTCTTCTGTTCTTTTGTAAGTGTTTTACGGCGCTCGCAACTACATAGGTTATATTATGAGCGCGCAGGATAAACATTTTCAATTGGTAGGAAATTATGAATTTTGCCCGGGTGGCGGCCGAAGCCTACTCTTATCGAAATGACCACCAGGGGATCTTTAACCTGCGAAACTTGCACACGGGACCTCCGAAATTTTTCGCCTTTGTCCGAGAAGGCAGGTGTAGATCTTTCCAAGCAGAAGATCAGGGGTGAGACTGAAAGACAGAAGTAAGGAGCCAAGGAGGAGCAGTAGAGAGGCTGCAGAAAGAGTCAGGGGCCCAGAGGATGGGGCAAAGGAGGTGAGGGAGTGGGGGTAGAAAGTGGAAACGAAAGCAGACGACAGAACATTGCCAGAGAGCAGGAAAGGAGGTGAAAGGAGACAAATTTAGAGAAGAAAAGTTTTCTGTCGCTACCCAGATTCGAACCTGGGATGTGGGTGGTTGGCGGGTGCTCTGGTGTGGTTTGCTCCTTCTTTCAAATAAAATATCTATCGTCCTTATCTCCTTTTTTTATTATGTTACTCTCTTGTGATACATCTATTCTTTGGTAGTTATATGACATTGTGTTGCAAGTGCCGTAAGACTCTTACTAAAACTAAACATAACCCGGGACCTTCGAATGAGAGGTGAACACCTTAACCTCTAGGCCATGAGAGCCCCCCAAATAGAATTTGAGACAATGAAAATCATGGAAATGTTGCAATGGAATTTATTTGGGACAATTCAAGTCATCAAAGGCCACAATAGGATTGATGATGAAAGTCTTGTCAGTGCTGTACTAGAAGTATTTTGTGACAAGCAAAGTCTTGAAAAATGTATTTAATAAGAGTTTGAGACAATGGAAACTATGTAAATGTTGCAATAAAATATATAATTTGCGATCTGAGCTGGAAGTAATAAAAATGTAGCAATGGAATTTATTTGTGTTCATAATGGAGTTCATGAAAACAATGCAAACAAAATTTATCGTTCACAAAAATATTTTATCGGAATCACAATACTGAAAAGGCAATATTAAATGCATCAGAACCATCTCTGGTGGCCCCCATAGTGGGACAACCAGAAGAAAAATGATGGTTAAAAAAACTTAAAGCAGCATGCACCAAAGGTTGATAAATTGTAAAAATAAATGGTTTAGTTTTATGCCCCCATTAACACCATTAGGTCATGGAGGAGGCAGGCAGCACCAAAGGAAGGAAAGGAAAAACCAAGTTGCTTTGTAAAATGAGAAAATGAACATGGGTCCCCTCTCCCTCATTAATGAGATTTTGTAAATAAGATCATTCTGGGAGACAGGCTATATTGCCCTGGCTTGTTTGTTTTAGTAAGGTTTTATGGCGCTCGCAACTGCATAAGGTCATATGAGTGCCAAGGGATGGATGTCAACAGAGAAGTCCAAACGGGGAATCAGGCTTACTCTGCTCACCTCTCTAGCCTCAACAGTACAAAGTCTGCTTCAACTATCAAGGCACCCCGGAAACAGCAGTTCACAAGAGAGTGATAAACATACAAAAGAAGTAGAGGAAAATGACGATAGTAAGGATGAAGAAAGAAGAAGCAGCAGTTCCCCTTAAGTTGTTCCGGCACAGTATGAGCATGAATTCTACTGTGCATGGAACATGTTAATACATGTATCCCCCCTTTGGGAATGGCCTAAAGACACTTCGGTCAGTAGCAAACGGAAACCTGGACTGAGTGGGATACAGTACCAAGGTAAAGAGATACTGCATAAAATCAACTTTCCCACTAGGGAATTGAACTTATTTCTTCTGCAGGCAATGGTGAAGAGCCTTACCATTACACCACATACTCGACCCAAGAAAGCAAAAATGTCTTAAGTGCGTTAGGAGAAAATCGCGAAAGAAAATTTTGAACAAGTTGGAGTATTGAGATAAGACACAATGTGATTTTTCTATAATTCTTGAATAGTTTGAGTAGTGAGATAAGACAAAATTGCTTTGAAAGGTGATATCAAGCTCTATTCAGCCATATGTTTATGTCTGATTTGTTTATTTTGGCACTTAAGCCATTTTTGCTTTCAAAGGTCAATATGTAAGGAAGTACAGCTGGCCTGAGCATGCTACTGAAAGAAAAAGCAACAACATAACAGAAATAACAAAACCGTTATTGTCTCTTCTGCTAGAAAAACAAAAACCCACAGATCTCGTACCTTTTGAGATTTCAACAAGAAAAGAAAATGAAAGAATAACATTGCAGCTTCAATTAAAACAGCTACATTATTTGACCTGACCTGCCACCCTTCAAGTAAAGCCTAATACTCATAAAGTAAATATATTTAACTCGGACTCCGAAACACTCTTGCCTCAAAACAGAAAACGAAATATTTCTTTTATACGATTTGCTAGATTAAAGAAAGGCAAAAGTGTAAAATTGTTTATCTCTAGAAAGATGCAGTCCCTTTTCATTGTCAATGCTGTACCCCCACATCACACAATTTTGATTATTTCAGGAAGCAGGCTGCTTTTACCCAGTTGGCAGTGGCCAACCCAGGTGGAGTAGGAAACATCCCAGCAAATAAATGAAGATACTTGATAAAACATCTTCGCAACAAAGGAATTGAACTTACACCTTTTGTGTAAGATAAAGAGTCAAATTAAATCAATAAAGATGCTACAAGAATTGACTTTTCATATCACAGAGCAAAACAACAGTATAAATATATATATATACGGGACAGATACCCTCCATAATAAAAAAAATTGAGCCAATGGCAAGATAAAAATACATCAACTGCTTACGGTCATAATACAATTGCCTAAGTAAATTTTTAGGTTTCAAGTTATTGGTAACCTCAAAATGTCTGTCCTTTGTTTTGTTTTGTCTATGTTTAGAGTACCGTACTAAAAATTCATTAAGACATTTTTATCTTTCATTAAGTCGTAAGGTTGACTTCAGGAAACACTGTTTTTTCAGATTTTCTCAAAACAACAAAAATTTCCTAGACAATCTTATTATGACCGTGATGATAATATAGTAGAAAATAACATTGCAAGATTCATGCTAGACTGAAATGGGAAGGCACACTTTGAGTGGAACATTACTTTGTTGAAAATAAACAAGGCACTATACCAAAAAATATATATATAGTATATAGATATAAAATGCTGTAAATAATTTGTTTTGGAGAGATAGGTCAGTTCCTCATCATGTCCAGAGGGCCAGTCAAGTGGGCCCTCAAGCCAAGCGCTCGTAGTCCTCCCTTCTGCGTGCCCCTCCACTGACCTCGTCGTCCGAGTCACAGCAGCAGCAGCACCGCCGGCAGCACAGGTAGCACGATGTACAATTTTCTTCACAGCAGCTCGGCTCCACAACGATGAGATTGTCACCCTGGGTAATGACATGCAGCGGCTGGAGGTAGCGGTACACCTATGGATGCATGGCAAGAGAGAGAGGAGGGGGGGGGGGGGGGGAGAGGAAGAGGGGCGGAGGGTTGGGGCAAGGAGGAGCGGAGGAGGGGGGGGGGGGGGGGGATCAAGAGGTTTAATATACTCATATAGTTGAGTACGATACTGTTTATAAGAGAGTGACATACTCTGTACTGAAAACTCATGTATACAAAAAGCAGGAGCAAATTTTTAAAAAGATCTATGTAGCAATACAATGAAAAATGCATAAAATAGAATAGCTTCATCAGTGCCATTTAAGGAACTATTTTGTGGTATATAATCTCTGGTATTTCATATAATAAACAGGCGACCCCACCTCCTTAGTTTAGTTTTAGTAAGATTTTTACGGCACTCGCAACTGCATAAGGTCATAGGAGTGCGCGAAACACAAGTTGGTTGCATTCACAACAGTTCAGTGCAAGGCTGGGCTCCGGTCAACATCATGTTAAAAAGCTAATAATTTGAAGTAGATCTAAATAAATTTATAACTTAAAATAATTTTCAAAAAAACATTTAAAATTTAACATTTTTCATAACCTTCCATAAAGGCCAATGGCCTTTATAAAATCAAGGATTCTGTTGGGATCAGCGACGAAAAAAACAGATCTTGCAATATTTTCTTCAGGTCTCTCCGAAGTCAAGACATTCAGTTAAAATGTGTCTGATGGTAAAATCTGTGTCGCATCTGAAACAGAATGGCTTCTCATCTCCCTGAAGGAGGTAGGCCTATTTATGTGTCAGGGACGAGTGTCCGATGTTCAATCGAGTAAAAATGACTTCGTCTCTTCTGGAGAGGCCAGAAGGTTTTCGTGGACCCAGCTTAATGTTGTGTAGTTTGTTGTTGGTTTGATTCTTCCAGTGAGTTTCCCACAGACTGGAGGCCCCACCTCCTTAAATAGCTGATATCTTGACTTCTATTCAAGATAGATGGGCATTTTTTTCATTGAAAGTAAGACAAATGAACAAGCTCTTAAAAGAAACCAATAACTCTACACGCCTAAAAATTGACGAGAGTCTGATTTCTCTGTGTCACGACACAGAAATTATATATAGGCCTATATATATATATAATATACACATATACAGATTTTTTCCGCCCTCTCCTGCCCACCCAGCAGTAATCTGACTTTAAGTTGGGGAAGTAAAGGCGGCGTGGAAAGGAACTGGCCACCCTACCACAATATGCCGAAGGCCCAGGAAGTTGTCTCACTAACAAGGCAATCCCCAATGTCCGGATCGGATGTGGGAACAACTTTATATGTGTCACGACGCAGTGGAATCAGGCGCCCGTCAATTTTTGGGCATATGGAGTTATTGGTATCATCTTAAAGGTTGTTCATTTGCCTTGCTTTCGATGAAAAAAATATCCATTTATCTTGAATAGAAGTGGAGATATTTGCATTTGGAGGTGGGGGTCGCCTGGTTTCAGAGGTAAAATGAGCAAGAAAATTTCTGCCAAAGTTTGGCCACTTCCATAGCATAAGAGTCCTTGGAAACTACATATTTAAATTTGTTGTGCCTTTAGTCAACATTTTCGCATAAAATGTACACACCAAAGTGTTATTGAATTGAATGGACATACAAGATGTTGAGCAAAAAAACAAAAATTTTAAAAAATTTCCTAACTGGCCGGAAAATGTCAATTTCTCGAAATTCATTATTTTGATGAGCGCCTGATTTCACCAAGATGCCTCACATATATTAAACACGCACACTTAAATGAAAGCAGATTATAATAAAATTATTTTTAAATTCAATAATTACCTTATTCTGAGCAGTCATAATGGAGAATAAGGGGAGGCACTGACAGATACTTCAGTGTTTCGGAGAACTAGATGGTTTTCACCGAATTCATCTGACATCTAATTTCAAAGATCTAAGGTCCTATTCTGAAAACATCTCCCCCAACCTTAGAAAAAGGACAAAACTCTGCACTGCACAATGGGGAAATCTCTAGCATTTGTGGCCAAAGTGTAACCAATGCGCAAAAATGGGCAACTCAGGTAGGCCTATACAGTCAGCTTCAAGTAACAGTGAATGGTGGGTGGTTTAGGTGGGATTATGCTTTATCAAAATACACAGTAGAACAGTAGCTCTGCTCAAACTGACCTGAATCGCAGCAAACTCACGTCCAGTAAAGAGGACAGTCAGTCTGTCACGGGAGTCAACTGCACAATCTACAGGCTTCACGTCCTGGGTGACCGACCTACCCAGGTTGAAGGTGTGGATGATCGGAGCGCTCTCAAATTCAAAGTCCTTGTCGAGAACCTGGGGAGAGGCAAACAGCCAGTCAGAGCTATAGCTTATAATTCTAATAAGAGTTTTACAGAACTTGCAACACAATCAGGTCATAGAAGTCGAAAGTTAGAGGTGATAGAAGGAAGTAACATACAAAGAAAAGATGGAGACATAAATGATAGATGTTTGATAGGAAACAACGAGCAGACCTGATCAGAGCACCTGCCAACCACCACCAGACAGATAAGGACAACAAAGATAACTTCTTTGTTGAGGTAGGCTATAGAGAAGCGCATCAACCTCGCTAGGAAAGAGCAAGACTCATCGACAGAGACTAGAGAGGGAAAGTACAAGTACGACCTACCTGTGGCATCATCCACCTACTCCCCACCATGTGATGGGGAAAACAAGAAAAACAGATGGACAGTTTAATTTTAGTAAAGAATTTTATGGCACTTAAAAATAAGATAGGTCATATAAATTCCCAAAGATATAAGGTGTTACTATAAATTATAAAGTAATAAACAAAAAAGGGGGGAGAGATATCTATAGATAGTTTTGTTTTTTTAAAAAGTGTTTTACGGTACTCGCAACTGAATAAGGTCATAGGAGCGCGCGGGACACATTAAACAATTTCTGAGGGTAGGGAATTTGAATTTTGCCCGGGTGGCGGCCGAAGCCTTCTCTTATCGATTTTAGACTACCAAGGGATTTTTTAGGGTTTTTTTTAATGAGTATTTTACGGCACTTGCAACACAATAAGGTCATATAAGTGCCGAAGACTTGAGGTGTTATGAGAGTGTAACTAACACAAAAAAGAAGGAGGGGAGATAAAGACGACAGATTTTTTATAGGAAAGAAGAAGCAAACCACACCAGAGTGCCCGCCAACCACCCACTAAGGGATCTTTAACATGCGCAACTTGCACACGGGTCTTCCAAGATTTGTTCCCTTGTCCGAGAAGGCTAGGTGTAGATCTTTTCTACCAAAAGACCAGGGGTGTGGCTGAAAGACAGCAGAGGAAGAAGGAGCAAAGGAGTAGGAGTAGAAAGGCTGCAGAAAGAGTCAGGAGCCCAGAGGAGGGGGCAAAGAAGGTGAGGCAGAAAGTGGAAACGAAATCAGACGACAGAACATTGCTAGAGAGCAGGAAAGGAGGTGAAAGGAGACAATTTTAGAGTAGAAAATTTTTCGGTCGCTACATGGATTAGAACCCAGGACCTTTGAAATAGAGGCAAACACCTTAATCTCTAGGCCACGAGAGCCCCCTCTATATATGTTTACACCACTTGCAATACATTAAGGTCATATAAGCGTCGAAGATTAGAAGTGTTACAAGAGAGTAACAAACACAAAAAAGAAGGAGTGATAAGGACGATAGATGTTCGATAGGAAAGAAGGAGCAAACCACACCAGAGCACCCGCTAACCACCCATATTTGATAGGAAAGAAGGAGCAAACCACATCACAGTACCCATCAACTACACATCTGTAGTTGTTTGCATCATAGACAGACATACAACACAGATACAGATACAACAAAGACGGACCATACTGACAGACAACATTTACCAAAAAAAATCACAGACAGACAATTGCAAGACCCTCCCTACCTGCACTCTGTAGTTGTTAGCATCACAAACAAACAGCCGCTTTTTGCTGTCCAGTGCCAGTCCCAGGGGGTAGAAGAACTGTCCTGGGAGGCTGCCAAAGCGGCCGTAAGTGGAATAAGCCATGAAGTCTGGGCCAAACAGCTTCACAATACGGTGGTTGTTGGTGTCTGCCAGTAACAACTCGAACTCGTCATGACCCTCGATGATGTGTGTGGGGTTGAATAGACCTTGACTTTTGCCACTGGCGATAATCCTGTGGCGACCATCATTTGTCTCGGCAAAGACGTCATTTGTGTGTGGAAGGCACATGACCAGGCGGTTGAGTGGCCCACGCATCAGAAGGCCTGATATATCCCGCATGGGCTGGGAGATCACCGTCATCTGAGATGGTGATTTGAACGGCACACAGAACAATTTGATCTCGTGGCTCGTTCGTGAGTGGCCCCCAAAGCAGAAACGCTCTTCCCGGTAATGGTCTGACTGCTTCATGAAGCAACAGACGCTGACCGGGTTGTCAATCCTCTTGGCTCCTACAGGGCAGTTTGGCTTACTGAACATGACAGCCTTACTCAGAGTGCTGTCAGCCACTACCAAGTGTCCTGTGCGGGGGTTGAGCCCAATGGCGATAGGGTGAATGACCTCCAGTTCCCCGTGGCCAAAGCCAAGGTCGTACTGATGGAGCAGCTGTGCTGCTTGTATTCCTGGAGGATATGAGTCACTGTGGACAAAAAGAAAAAATAATGGGTTAAGAAAAAGGGTTTTCGATTTTCTTAAAATAAGATGACACCATTGATATTAATTTTCAAAAAAGAGAATTGTGGTAAGACTAATTTTACAGATGAGTTTGAGTACAGAGACACACAATGGACACAAAAAAGTCACACAGACAGAAACAAAAAAGTGAAATAAAACAAGTTAGACATTCCACTGGTGCCCTCCAGCCTAAAGGTGAAACAATTTCAACAATAACAGTTCTGAAGATGAGACAATTATAACGCTAACAATACCAAAGATCACACTTTCAATTTAAGCACAGTTCAAGCAGGAACAATTGCTCTAAAATACTTTGGATAGTAAGAACTAATTCTTGACACTTCCAAGAATTTGTTATTACTCACTCATTGGTCAGAGCCTCCACCCTGTCATAGGGAACATGGCGAGTCACATGAGCGAGATGTTCGCGAAAGATACAAGCTGTCTTCAAACGTCGAGACTTTCGATCCTTGAGGGTCTTCCTGACAGTGGGGTCATCAGAGGTCACATACTTCTCCTCTGGATCAGTGGGATCGCTATCAGGGCTTTCCCTGGAACTTGGCTTTTTAGGCTTGCCCCAAACTTTGAGTTTGAGAAAAGAGAAGCACATCATAATAACACATTAATGGTCATTTAGAGCAGGGAAAAAGTAAGACAGACAAACAAAAGAGGGAAAGAACAATGGAACCTACCAGTGGCACCATCCAACCACCCACAAGTCCAAACTTAGTACAAAGATGAAAAGCCACATATCACACGATCTCATTTCCATTTTTTGAATAGACATAAGCCCACTGACACAAAAACGGTCGATAAGTGCGGAGGGAAACAATAGGAAAAGACAAAGTGTATAACATAACTTTGTTTTAGTAAGAGTTTAACAGCACTTACAAAACAATAAGGTCTTATAAGTGACGAAGATTAGGTGTTACAAGAGAGTAACAAACAAAAAAAGAAGGAAAAAAAAAGGGGGGGGGGGGGGGGGAGAGAGACAAGGACAGTAAAGTAAAGGAAGAGCAAACTACACCAGAGCACCTGCTAACCACTCAACCATTCAAAACACACTCTGTTTCTTACATGCAACTGTGAAGAGCTAGGCCACAATATCACAGCCTCTGTTTGGAAGGTTTTGTTAGAGTAAGGAGAAGCACACAGACAAAATAATGACCATTTAGTGCTGGGAAAATGTAAGACAGAAACAACAGAGGAAAGCAAAGAAGTAGGACCTACTAATGGTACCCTCCAGCCACCTACCCTGTTTGGAAAGAAATACACAGCCACTTGTTTGAGTAAAAAGAAGCACATTGACACAATGACGATCATTTTGGGCATGAAAACGCAAGACAGACAAATAAACAACAAAGGCAAAGAAAAGAGAAGAATCCATCAGTGGCACCCTCCAGCCACCTGTCATCTTCTACATAAATGCAAAGGTGAAGAGTTTAAAAATTACTCAATCAGATGCGAGTCGGATTTGTCAGAAGGAAGGAGAGACAGAGAGAGAAAGAGAGAGAGAAAGAGAGAGAGATAGAGAAAAAGAGATAGAGAAAGAAAAAAAGAGAGACAGACGGACGGACGGACGGACGGACGGACAGACGGACAGACAGACAGACAGACAGACAGACAGACAGACAGACAGACAGACAGACAGACAGTATGAGAGAGAAAGAAAGACACACAAACACAACAAAAAGACTCAAACAAATAAAAACACAAACAGGCACGACTTACCCTCAGAGTCAGAGCCAGGGGAATCATCTGTCTCTGGACTCAGTGGGTTTGGGCCTTGGCGGACCCCATGCAGCTCCATTACTCTCTGAGATAAACTCTTCTCCTCAACACCTCCGACTGCCCCCTGTAGCTCCTCCTCTTCATTCCCTCGATTCACATTGCCGTCTGACGCACTTAAACCGTAACTCTTTTCCTCTCCAGTTCCTTTATCTCCCTCGCTCCCACTTGTAGCAACATTGTCCCCTCTACCAACCCTAACAAAATCATCTCCACTACCACCACTACTACCCACAGTATCACTACCACTTCCCACAGCACAGCCTCTGCCTTTACTACCTGCACTTCGCCCACTAACACTCTCCCTGTCAGCTTCCGAGCCACCACTGCCTTCATTACTTCTCCCTCCACTGCTTCCACCTTCTTCAACCCTCTCCAAACCCTGACCCTCAGAGGTTTCCTTACCTCTGGTTACAAAGGTGGGATCTGAACTGCCTTCAATAGCACGATCGTCATACTGCTCTTGTTCCTCTGGCAATCTACCCCGAGTATCAATCCCGCCATCCTGACCCCTGTTTCCCTCATTGTTTCTTTCACCATTTCCCTCACTTTGGCTAGAGGCACCCTGACTCTGGTCATTGTCTGCTCGTCCCTCAAACTCATCTGAGCTGGATGGAGGGCTTGCTGTTGACAGGTCCAAGGGCTCTTGGTAGATCAGGTCATACTGCAGATAGAAGATATGCCCCCATGGCAAACAATTTTCAAATCTACAAAGTTCACAACCAAAAATATTGCTCATATTGACAAAATTCACAAACTAATAACCGTCATTCCTCAGTCAGTACCCCAAAAAAAAATTGCAAGAAGCTCACTTGTTTTAGTAAGTTTTAGTTTTAATATGAGTTTTATGGCACTTGCAACACAATAAAGTCATATAAGTGCTGAAAAATTAGGTGTTATAAGAGTAACATACAAAAAAGAAGTACGAGAGATTAGGAAGATAAATGATTGATAGGAAAGAAGGAGTAATCCACACCAGAGCACCCACCAACCATTCCCCTTGTTTGAGCAAAGAGAAGCATACAGAAACAATAATGGTCATTTACTGCTGGGTAAGTGCAAGAAAGACCCAACAGAAACATATGAATAAGCAGAACCTACCGGTTGTGCATCCCAGTCATCCACTACACAATGCTCATATTGCAGACAAAGTTCACTGACACTACAAACATTCACAGAACTGGGTACAGTCGAACCTTATACTTACCTTGAGATGAGCATGAAGTATGAAGTTCGTGGTATAGCAGGGCTGGCAGTATAATGGGGTTCTTCTAATGCCGTCCTTTGTTTTAAATAGCCCAGATTGCACGATGTAAAAGAAAGATTCTGCTGTGTGATCTGTGTTTGTTCTAAAATTCACCTGAGTTTAGTAAGTACAGAACAACTCAGATGGTAGACGGAAGTTTAAAGAGGCAAATAGTTCATTTATAAACAATTCTTTTGTGCATTGGCAAATCCTATCAGTAAGTCGGACTGGCAGTATAACAGGGGGCAGTACAATGAGGTTTGATGGTACATATCACTGACGATTTGGCAAATAGACACTTTTGCCTTTGTACTAAACATCTTATCATGCCACTCCTAAATGTTCCATAAGCTTCCTCAATCAATGGTCTACAATGGAACCAACCATTTGAAACATTTTGCTTTTAGTTTAGTAGTAGCAGTTTTATGGAGCTCATAACATACCGGTCAAAGAGTGCACGAAACGCACGGTTACTTTGACAACAGTTCACAGCAATGTTTGGTTTTATTTTATGGTTAGGTAAAACATTTTAAGGATAAAATTAGTTTTTAAAAAGCAGTTTACAGTTTTTACATAACAAGATAGCACTTTCCCTGCAAAAAGTCCTTACCATTTTCGCCTCCCCTGAATATTCTATGATGAAGTCCTTGTTGTTACAAGTATGCCATCTATATCGCTGCTGAAAAGTCAGTCTCAAAAGGCGAGTGTTGATCTTCAGCTTGTCCATTTTTCTCTTCACATACAAAGGAAAGCTGCATTGTGGGCAGGTGAAGACCTCGGGAAAGTTCAAAAAGATGTACCTCCCCTGGGCTTCATTGACTTGATTTGTAACCTGAACAGCAAATGTCAGAAGTAAAAATAAAAATTCCAGCTTCAGATAGGAAAGACAGACAACCCTATATATATACATTTTTATTATAAAGGCACATTGACAAGATAATAGGCATCGTTATTAAGCACAAGTCTTTTTGCTTGGCCATCTACCCAGTGTTGCCATTGAGTGTATCGTCAAACGCTGTTGTACCAACTACCAAGGGGAGAGCATGAAGTTGGTGGTTATGTGGGCAGGTGAAGACCTCGGGAAAGTTCAAAAAGATGTACCTCTTCTGGGCTTCATTGACTTGAACAGCAAATGTCAGAAGTAAAAATAAAATTCCAGCTTCAGATAGGAAAGACAGACAACCCTATGTACATTTTTTATTTTAAGGCACATTGACAAGATAATAGGCATGAAGTTGGTGGTTGCAGTTTAACGGGATAGCAATGATTGCCATCCGGACAAGTCGAGGACTGGTAAAGAGACTATATTTTATGTCAGCTAGCTGTGGCCAGATTTGACTCAGATTTGCCCTGTTGACCTTTTTTTTAAAACCCAAACTCAGCTCATGATACAGATGCCCACCAGTCTTTCAGATATCAGCAGATGTCTGGCAACCTCAGATATTTTGCCGAAAGGATGAGGGGACGCAGTTTCCTACGAAACTTAAAAATTTTACTCCAATTTCTTTATTGAAATATTGGCCAAAGCCTAAAAATAATAGCATTTTTATCATCAGTACAAATTAGGAGCAAATCCATGACAAAAGCTAGTTAGCCAAATGAACTCACAGAGGCGCATGTGTGGGTTTAAAGAGATTTTCAAGCTACCACAGTGTGGGTGCCATGCTCTGTGTGTACCTCTGGCAGCAAGTTTGCTAGAGATATAGCGGGGCAAATTTGCATAAGTTTAATAGGGACAGTAAAACTCTGGATGGCAGTGTAAAGGTGTAAATTTTAAATACTTATGTTTAACTAGGCGTTCCTTTTCATACATTGGCAAAACCTGGCGGTAAAACGGGCGATATGATGGTTTGACTGTACAATATCAAGAATTTACAATTCCGAATATACAGGTAAGGTGCCCGGAGTACTTAAATATGCTCACCAGGAGACAGACGTGGGATGAAATCTACTTGTAAGCTTAATTTTAATTATATGTTGAAATGTGGGCCAACACCTGTCATAAATTGCTGCGCTCAAAATAAGCAATTTGTAGCCTGGGTTACTTTAATTTTATATTTAATGATCCTATGCTTCCAAAGAGCAGTTTTAAATATAAAACCCAAATAAATATTTTAATTATTTATTGGATCGGGTTTAAAAAAAAATTATATATATTCATATTAGGCCTAGATCTAGATCTAGATCTATATATAATATATATAAAACGAAGTGACAATTTCTCAGAACGTTCGGGAAAATAAACTTGAACTCATATTTTTCTGAACGGTTTCTGTTCTCTAGATATTTTGGTTATTCGCGAGATTTAGGCGTCATCTTTCATTCTACCATTCTGCGAGGACTTTTAAGCATTTTTTGCATCGAATTCAATTTCTAGAGCTAGAGATTTTTAAATGTCTGAATATTCAGATACTTCAGTTGTGGTTGATTCAACGTACATTCCGGACTATACTTCATTTGAAAATGTATACCTTCAAAAGGTACTGCGAGAAAACAAGACTGATTGACCTTGGCAGTAATACCTATTTTTGTCTTTACAGTCACCCAGTAAAAACTAAAATCCTTCATGTAAAAAATAATCCCTCCATATGCC